ATGACTTTACTGTCTTTGCCTTCTTTGGGGCTGGTTCTCCTACGGTAATCCATTGTTTGGACTGTTCTTTTTACACTCTTTTCAAGAGTGTAGTGGTGTACCCATGTTTCGTCTACAGTTACGAGTCAACGCCAAAAGTCTTCCGGATTACGACGAATACGTGCCAAAAAAGCCTCAGAGGTGACCACGCGGGTTCGTTTGTTTTCAACAGTGAGCAAACGCGGCACCCATCTTGCTGATATTTTTTTCATCCCCAATTTTTCATGCAAAATTGAAATGATTGTACCTTTGATACCCCTGTAGCCTCAACTAATTCTCGCCTAATTTAATTTTAATCTTCTATCACTAAACGCCATATCGTGGATTTTGTTGACCATTTCGGGCGTACTCATTTCTACAGGACGTCCTGAACGAGGTTCATCTTTTGTTGTTGTACGGCCGGGTTTAAATTCATTTACCCAGTTATAAACAGTTTTAAACACAGGGGCAGACTTACCATTAACGGCGTTCAATTCAACTGTAATTTCTTTTGGTGTAAGATCTTTCAAATGAAAATGTTATATTTCCGCTCGAAACTCTGTTTTTTCCATTTATCAAATAAATCAATAACTTTTTGTTCAACCAACGCTCACATAAGAACGACTCAATGAATCAAGCTGAAACTTTGTACGATATCTAGTTAGTAGTATTGCTTGCCAAAAACATCATAATTTAAGCGTGGCGAGCGCCATTTCTTGGATTTTGTAAAGACTTATTGACCCCCCGTCGTAGTATGAAGCTTCCAGCCATGCTCATATCTTATTTTAGTAAATCTTTTACAATTGCAATCAAGCAAAATGAAGGAGATGCTACGAAAATTGAAAAAACATTACAGTCTATCGTACCTCATGCGTATGGTAATCACAGTTAATGTGATAGTTGGTGCGAAGGCACTAGAAATGAAAAGTATATTTATAAACATCTTCCACGTGGTGAACCTCTAATCGATTCTAATTTAAAAACAAAATTGACAGAATAAATTAATCGTTACGCAAACAATTCATCAAAAATAGCACAGTGTGCTTCTACACAGATTAACGAGTCATTGAATTAAATAATAGCTAGTAAAACTTCCAAGTCGAGGCACTACGCAGGATCTGAGTCACTAAGTTTTCGTGTGAAAGCAGGTGTTTCTCAAAAAAATCTCGGTAGACAGTATGCAACGCGCGTTTTTAAAAAAATGGACTACGCACAAAGTGCCGCGAGTATCGCTTATAGAAAACAGACTGACAAACTTCGCCAAATGACAGCACTACATACAAGTAGTATATTAAATGAACGAAGGAGACTAGTGTCAAAACACTCAAAATCTTTGAAAAATGTTGCGTGTGAAAAAAAAAGAAAGAATCTCATATGGAAGTGGATTTTCTCTAAACGAAATATTGATAACTCAAACCATCCCTACCACTTATAAAAAAGTTGACTTGAACGAATGTATGGTTTTACTCTATGATTTGGAAACGATAGGAACCTCGTTTAATGATGAAATTGTTCAAGTAAGACATCATGTCATTCAAATTATAAACATTTATCTTATACAATTTATAATATTATATAATATAAACTGACTTTTTTCTCAGATTTCAACAGACTCTTTTAAAGATCTTAATCCTTTCAATGCTTACATTATCCCTTTGAAACAGTTTTCAAAGGTGGCATCTGAAATTACTGGGCTACATGTTTGTAATGGTGAATTATATTTGTATGAGAATCCTGTCGAAGCAATGTCTGCAAAGGTTGTTTGCGAAAATTTTTTAAAATACCTAGGAAGCTTTAAAAGTCCTGTGATTTTAGTGGCGCATAATGGATTTCGTAAGAATAATTTTTTTATATGCATATTCTACATTTCTAAATGAGTTATCGCCATAAAAACTTGATTATGTATTGCTTGCAGGTTTGACAATCCAAGATTGACGAGATTATTGCAAAAATGTCAATTGTATGAGAATTTTAAAAATATTGTCAAAGGTTTTGCTGACTCGTATCAATTTTTTAAAAATATTCTCGTAGATAAAGTGAAACAGAAAAAGAAATTTACAGTAAATTACTTGATACGCGATTATTTACCTGAAGAAAAATCGTTTTCTCTTCGCAATGCAATAAATGACGTTCAAGTTCTTAAAAAGTTACTGCTAACTATTAAAACTACCTTTAAAAAATAATCTAAAAGTATTTCAAACATTATTAAAAAAAAGGAATTAAAAACAAAGACAACAAATAATAAAACTACTTGGCAAATGTACAAAAGTTTATTATCTAATGTAACGATGAATAAGTTAGTTAGGGTTGACATTACTTTTGAAATTATGAAAATGATTTTTGAGAAACATGGTATACAGGGAGTGTACTCAACGTACGTGGAAAATGTGAATAATAAGCTCCGCGTAACGAAAAACGCTATTTTGCAGTTTATATATAGTTTATTTACTACGAATACGCCAAGTGATAAATAGGATAATAAAAACTATTTATTGTAATAATCTAATTGTAGACTCTCTCTTGCGTTATAAATTATTAAATTGTATTCTTAAATTATTCAAATTTTAGTAAAACAACTGATGTTATTATGATTATTATTAAATAGTGTTTTTGAATCATCACACAAGAGAAATAAATAATAATTTATTGGAAAACTCGTGTTTAGTGTTCCAACCTCACCTATCGTCTTTGAATTGCGCTCGCGCCAGGAGCATGTAAGCACGACCGGATGTTATGTCCAAAACGACTTTATACCTTGAATATCTCTCGAAAATGCGCGTAGACCCCCCAATTACAAAAAATACTATCAAGATCCTTATCATTTTAACTATACGTTCTCAATTTTTTAAGTGATTATTCAATTTATATTGTTGAGATATAATTTTTGAGCAAACAGAAACCGATAGCAGTCCCATAAGAACCCCTGTTAAACAAGTCAACTTTAAGAGGCTCGTTCTGAAAATTTTTGAATGTTGACAGGAGTTGAAATTTTGGCAAGAATTTGTTGTTACTTAAGGAACAACATCTCAAAGTTTCATGATGATCTCCAGTTTTGAATTTAGGAAACAGCTACCTTAAATACTATATGTTTATGAAAGTTAAACGTGAGCATAGTTACTATAAATGTGAGATGATTTGAATATGTTGGAAGTGATTTCAATGATAACCTGAAGCCTCATCTCAATAATATAAGTTGATAGTCAACCAGTTCTTATTTAATTTCTTATGTGAATTCTTTTACGCAAGTTATGCCTTATGTCAAAAAGGAAAAAAAAATTACCTATATGATCGCGATTTAAATCCGAGATCTTGATCTTATCAGATTTGTTAGGTTTCTCTAAGTGCGACGAGCTAGGTAGGGTGTCGCGATGCGCACCAGGCCTGCTCTCGAGCGTCCTCTGTGCGCAAGGTAAGGAGCGTCCGGAAATAAAACACGCGGTTCACCAGTACTGAAAGAGACTTTTATTTCTCCCAAAATGAGCACTTTCTCAAACCGCCAGAGCTGTGGCGAAGCACTACAGAGCTTATGGCTTTCGGAGTGGAAGACCTCCTGGTGCGTCGTGAGTACAACTCCCGCAGGCGTCTCACGTCTCGATCTCAGGTTGACTCGTTCGCAACCTAGGGCTAGCGCTTAGAAGACTTCGCGGTACCAATTCTTGTTTCCGGCGGTGCCGTCTTTCGGAGTCACGTATGGCGTTATCTGGCGTTGGCTTAGCGCGCCGAGGATCAACCGCCACAGATTTGCACATTATCACTTATATGATCGCGATTTAAATCCGAGATCTTGATCTTATCAGATTTGCACTTTATCACTTAGCTACCGATGATTATTAGAATACTAGCTAATTTTAAACTATTTTACACACAATCTGAAAATTTTTCAATTATTCAATTATATTCAATAAACTATGTTTGCTGATAATACTGATGAATTTAATATTAATGTGTGTGTGTGTTTTCTTTTTACTCATTTATATTTTTTTTTTTTAATATAAATTTAAAAAACCAGTAAAAATACAGTTCATCAAATAGGATTGATAATTCATAACAATTTTCAGATGGCATATAATATAGAATAACAAAATCATATTTATTGTAATAGTAGTTGATGGCAAATTGGTAAAATATAAGTCTGCTATCATGAAGGACTCCGGTTCAAGTCTCGGTAAGATGGCTTATTTTTTTAATTTTCTATATATAGTTCATCTTCTGTAGAAGCTGCTCAACTTATTTTACCCATAATATACCTGTGTTGTCTATTTATTAAATTTTTAACAACATTTCGATTTATTAAATATAAAATTTGTACAAATTTTGTATATATTCTTGTACAAATTTAGTACCCATTCTATACAAAATTTATAGAATTATTTTCTTTTAGATAAGATCTCGCAATATTTCTCATGCAATTTTGTATTTAAGTCTTTCCTAAAAACTCATCTTTCATTTTTCAGGAAGGTTGATTCTATATTCTGTTTATATGAGATTTAATTTTTTTTTTAATTGTAGGAGAGGGAAGGTCACCCATATCTTAATAATGAATAGTAGTTCAAAAAATATTTCATTATTTTAAGCCGCACTGTTTCGATATATCTTGCACAAGGGCAAAAGTCGATCTTTATAACCATATGCACCTCAGATCATAAAAAATAGTTTGCTCCATGTTATCCCAAATAAGACATTATTGAAACTATTTTTTATAACCTCTTTTGCTGTTGTAGCATTTCTAGAAAAATATACAATTACTAAAACATAGTCCCAAAATAATCTGGATAATGATAAAACAGCAAAAGAATTAATGAAATAGTTGCCTCTCTTCGAAACAATATTGTACAACCACTATTTAAAAAATATAGCTTTGATGTTTTTCCAATAGACCTAGCCAGATTAATATTATATATTACTAATTACTTCAACAAACTAAGAGTAACATAATTTTAATGAAACTAAGAAATCAATATATATAATAAAATCATATTTACTTCTTGCAGAGTGCAACTTGATTTTTATCATGCACTTTAAGACAAGCATCATTGATTTGATTTGCACAGTAACCCAAATTTTTGATAGAGCAAACAAGGTTGGTTATTTTTCCGCATCTTATTTCGCAAAATAAGTAACTTTTTTGTTTCACTCTGTTACTGAAAAAGAATTGAGAATTGATATTGATGAATGTCGACTAATAAAAATTTTATATCATAATGACTACACATCCAAATTTATACCTGGCATTTGTTTTGGAATTCTTATGTGATAAAGCAATGAAATTGTTTTTTACTGATATATTTACTCTTGTTTCCAAAGAATCAGATAATGTATTCCTGTTGACACTTGTGGAATAAAATGTTGATTATTTTCACATGAACTAGAAATATGATTACCTGTAAAGGTTTTTAAGATCATTAATTTATTGAAGAAAATATAATACAGTAATGAACATAATCTTACATTTTAAATCTAAGTTGAGCCCTTGACGAATTAATTGATTTCGACTTTTTTTATAGATAATACCATCAATAGATACCAAACCTCTTGAACTTCTGAAATTATAGTTGATGAATGTAATTTTATAACCTATTTGAATTTTTAGAAAAACAATAATACTTACATAGTTGTAATTTTTGATGTGAAATTTTTATATGGTATTAAACAAATATTTTTTTTTATTTTATTTTTCCAATTTGCAGTATATTTTTTATATGCTTTGATTATTCTTATATTATGTCTCTGCCACATATTATCATATTTATAACTCGATTTCTTCAAAGGTAATAATGATTGTTTTTCCTTTAAGTAGTGTTGATATCTTGGACCTGTCATAGCTCTTATTACAGTATGTATAAGTATTATATGTATTCTGTAAATATTGATGAATTTAATGAAGTTCTACGGTTCATTAAATTTGTTCTTTTCTCTATATTAGAACTTTTTAGAGCTGATTCACATTTTTTATCAGATTGTAGATCTAAAATCAAAATTTGGTTCACATTGTTTATAACATTTTCAACATGATTAGGAAACATATAAGTATCCAAACATATAGATAAATTATATTTTGAAATAAGAATATCTTTATGAAAAATACCTAATTTATTTTCAGCCCCTAGAATCGAATCTGTTTTGTACTTCGACATTACTTTATCTCGATAAATCAAAACATTGGAACTCCTAGAAGCTGATTCTAAATTACTTATGATACAATTATTCTGATGATTGATACTATCTTTAGGCACTTTATATTCTAATTGGACATTATTTTACGATTGATATATACCACAGATTTTTCTTCAAAAACATGATTATAATTTTGATTATCGTAATTAGGTGTTTTTAAATCTCCTTCTTGATTATAGTGACACGAAAAATTTTGATTTAATATTTTAGGATTAACATGAATGGAACGTTTATTGTTAATACAAGGATTTATATAGATTTTACTTTTTCTTGTGGGAATTTTGAATTAAAGTATATCTTACTCATAATTGATTTGTTACTCAAAATGATATAGTTTTTAATTGAATAGCTTATTTCTTTATACTGTAAACTTTTCTGCATTTGAAATTCTATATCTAATAACAAATTTTTTGCATTTTCTTGTAATTACCAACAAAGCTAAAAGTAAAATAATTACTCTGTTTAAGTATATTGTAAATAATTTTTTCAATGCTGAAAGCAAACGAATATAGACACTAGTCAAAACCTCCCCGGTCCAGCCTGCAATGCAAAAAAAATATTTAGACATGTAAACCTATAGTTTTTTAATTGCCCAATTCAACTGCAATATTTATTTTCTTTGCACTCTTTCACTTTACTTACAAAAATTAATAATTATATCTGATATCACTGCAAACTTCAAGCGTCAATATCTCGATAAATAAGTAATACTTCATAATTCCTGAAAATGCAAAAAATTTCTCTTGAGATAATTTAATTTGCCCAGTCGATTGCAATGACAATTCATCAATTTTTCATGGGACAATTATTAAATAGCATGTAACGGGGGAGGTTATCTAAAAAATGAGGAATTTATTTAAGAACAAACTCCCACGATGCAGAGCTAACCGCCGCTCCGTTAAACACATCGAGCCGATCCTGGCAGGAAAATAAATGATTTTCTAATTAAACTACACATGGTTGACTTTATTTTAATTTGTACCACCCGCAAATAAGATTTTAATAATTTGTACCCTCTAGAAAACAAAGAAAATGCGAAAATAATAGGATGTTGGAAAATCTATGCTCCTAACAGAACAAAATTGATTTTCTTAAATAAAAAAATATAGGCAGTTTTCTTTTAATTTGTACCATTCGAAAATATCAATTTGGCCATTTGTACCCGTCGCAAAATTAGGTAATAATTAAATTTTCACAGACCAACTCAGTCGTTCATACTTTCGTATCTTCTGCGCATGTGTGATGGAAAATCTTGATTCTGGCACGAAAATGTTAGATTTTCACGGAAAAAATCAAGTGAATGGCTTCTATTTAATTTGTATCATTCGAAAATTACAAATTTTTTATTTGTACCCCCTGTCGAAACCGGAAAATAGCAGTTTTCTTTATCAGTTATATTACTATTTTCAAATCTGGCGAGCGAATGTTGGCAGCCATTCAGAGAGAGAGAGAGAGAGAGAGGAGAGAGAGAGAGAGAGAGAGAGAGAGAGAGAGAGAGAGAGAGAGAGAGAGAGAGAGAGAGAGAGAGGAGAGGGAGAGAGAGAGAGAGAGGGAGGGAGAGGGAGGGAGAGAGAGAGAGAGAGAGGGAGAGAGAGGGAGAGGGAGGGAGAGAGAGGGAGAGAGAGGGAGAGAGAGGGAGAGGAGAGGGAGAGAGAGGGAGAGAGAGGGAGAGAGAGGGAGGGAGAGGGAGGGAGAGGAGGGAGAGAGAGGGACAGAGAGGGAGAGAGAGGGAGAGAGAGGGAGAGAGAGGGAGAGAGGGAGAGAGGGAGGGAGGGAGGGAGAGAGGGAGAGAGGGAGAGAGGGAGAGAGAGAGAGAGAGACCGACAGTAGGTTGAGCTGGTCCAGTTCAGATTGTCAGAGAGAGAACGGCAATTGATTATTGATCATAATAATCAAAATAAAAAACTGAATGTTCTCGAAAAAATAATTCTATTCAATTAAGTAGATACTGCAACGGTAGTCGATTCAATTAATCGCACCGTTCGCGATTCTGAATTTCGCGCGTTAGTTCTAAGTATTGAGAGAGAGAGGGGGCGCGCGATCTTTCAAATTAGCAGTTACGTCTCAGCTGTTGATACGTGTGGATATCGCCGAATTTTGGTTACACTATTTTTCTGCCGAGTGATAGTTTTTTTCAGATCAATACGTGCGCGAGTGCAACAACGTAGTCAACATATTGCAGCATTACGGTAGCAGTAGATTTGGAGCTGATAGGCGATACGAGGCAGCGCAGTTGATAAATCAGAACCGGAGGCAGTTGATAATTTTACTGGCATCAACAATTGCGGCCGATCACCGTAATTGCACCGCAGGGTAGGTGCAACTCCCTTAATTATCGCGAGACAGAATATATTAAGTATTTTGTTTAACCGTTTAGCGTTAATTATTTGTATTCGCGCCGAGCGTTAGGTCGCGCCAATTTTCGTATCTTCTCTCTCTCTCTTTCTCACCGGAAAATTATTTAATTGTAAATCCTATTCGCGTGCGTCAGTCTTTCGGCCCGACAAAGACTGTATAGATTTTTTATGAATAAACTTTGTTAAACTTATTCGCCGATTTCGTCATATGATTTTCCTAATAGTTTAAGAAATTGAAATAGGCTTAGGTGTTAATCCTATTACGTCTAGGGGATTAAGCGGAGAAGGAGTAAAGTCGCTCACACTTCAAACTCATCGAGTGTCCCGATACATGTGACTTAAGGTGAGTTCAACTCCGTTTGATAGAAGACAACAAAAAGAAATCATCTGACGTTAAAGCGAATACACGTACTTACATACGTGATTAACGGAGCGGCGGTTTGCTCTGCATCGTGGGAGTTTGCTCTTATACAAATTTCTCATTTTTTGCAAGATTCCCCCCGTTACAATACGTAGTAGTTCCAACGTGAATGTGAAAACTTTGAAATGGCAAGAGACGTGGGAGTGAGCAAAAAATCTAACCAATAAATCAGATAAGTTTTTTTCATGTTTCTTTGGAAAATTATTACTGGTACTGATTTGATGCATTAAAGTTCAGATACTTTGTTTAAAATTTCTGCTCATTTCAGATTGATGAAAATTTTCTTGAAACGTTTGAGGAGCTAATCAATTTGAAACGGTATTGTTTGATTTCACTGAACTCTGTGCTTTATGAGTTACAATGGGTACAAGTACAAGACAGTAGGAGCAACAAGAAGAGGAATCAAAGATGTATATACTATCAGAACATTAGTGAAATTTGGCAATTTGGACGAATAGAGCAAAAGAGAAGGTTTGCTACTTCTATTCTAGTAGGTGGGTATAATTAAACAGTTGATAAAGTTTACTAGTTATTTTATTATTTTTTCTAAACAAGTACAAAGCATTGCAATAATCTGGCTCAATGGTTTGTTTGGATAAATCAGTGTAAATCCATTTCCCATCTTACATATAGTATACTGCTGATCATTATTCTTGGTAAATTTTTCTAATGCCTTATCGAACAATCTTGCAAATCATTTTTTTCTTCCCAATATTTAAATTGGGCATTGTAGCAATGCGCCACATAATGACCTGGCCTCCCCTCTACTACGCCACCCAAAACAAACTTTTGATTTAAAATTTCTAAATGAATTGGTAAATCAGCTAAATTGCTTCTAATAATGCAATCATTTCCTCCTATATTTTTGTATGCATCCTCGACATCCAGCCATAAGTACAATCCCATATTGTAAGTACATACTAGTTCCAGGTTCTTGCATACTGAACAATGAAACCGGTGTTCGGCAAAATAATTGTTTAGCTCTTCCTCCAAATTCTTATAATTATTCAGCCTAACAATTGATGTGTTTGGAAGTGGCGTTATTGGTCTTTTTATTTTTCGATGACGACAACATACTTGACAACTTTGAACTTCTTCTGTACAGTCATATTGAATCATTAAATTTTTCATCAAATCATTAACATTACAAGAACAATCAACCATATTCGATCCATCTATTTGTTCG